TCGAGGTAAATTTCGAAGTTAAAAAAATAGTGGAGAGATCTTTTCTTTGAGGACACGGAGCTAAGGAGTTTTATTAAATATTTATACTATTGTTTTTATAAAGATTTATCTGCAAATTTACCAAAGAAAAAGGAAAAGCTATAATTACACTGTTAGAGACCCACTATTGGATATTTTTAGAACACATGAGAGTATTGGTTTAACCATGAATGGATTTGAAGAATTTTTTCCGCTGTATATGGTGTAAAATATTTAATATTAATCATTGTACTGTGAATCAGATGAAAGTTGCGGAGAAATTTCGAGTCCATAATCAACTCCTCAGATTTGGCCTAGTAGAGTTAAAATGTATAGGAAATATTTCACCAAGAAAAAAACATATATAGGAAATTTGTATATCGCATACTAATTAGGGTCTTTAAAATCGAACCTAACCCACGTGAAATATTTGTGGAAGTAGTAACATTATACGCATGATAATTTAGTATATCTCTATATAATAAGAATAATTTTTATTTTCAAAACATGGGAATTATAAATCTAAACCATACTATCATGTATAAATGGTCAAAGCTTCCAGTTTAATAAACCTGTAGGAAACTTACATATATCTTTGACTCTATAAAAAAAGTATATACAAATTAAAATTAATTTTGACTATTTTTAAAAGACTATAACTTATTTAGGTCTAAGAGATTCTTGAGATTCAATCTATAACTCATGCGTGATTAATAGGGTGGGTAATCAAGTAAGTTAGCTTTTCGCTAAATACAATGTAAGATATATGTGTGATACGAAATATTAACTTTATGCTACTGATATGGTATTTTTGACTGGTTAATTAAACAATGTATCTAGAAAAAGTATTTTTGTCTGAATTATGTAAACTTCTTATAGGAAAAAATAATTTTATTTAAATTAAATAAAATTATTGTGAATAATATTTTTTAAAAATATTTAAAATAGTTACATTATGTCTCAATATTAAGATTATAAATTAAATTAGACAAAGTTGGCATACGTGCTCAGAATTATTTATTTAATTTGAATTTTTTTATTTTAATCATAAAATATTGCATTATTTATATTTTACATATTATTTATAATTTTTTTTATTTTACATATTTTTATAAAAATAAATTTATTTAAATTAAATAGAATTATTATAAACAATTTTAAAAAATCATTTAAAATAGTTATATTATATTTTGAATTTAAGATCACAAATTAAATTAGAGTAACTTTACACAAATTTCTCACACTCGGAGACATTGTTTCCTTTGAATTTTTTTAAATTTCAATTTTTACAAAAGATAATTTTATACAAATTTTTAAAGTTGAAAAAAAATGAGAGTATTTTTATAATTTAAAATAAATAAAAATAATTCATTCATTAATTGTAATACCCGTTTATATTTTCCAAGAGCAACATTTGGACACCTTATTTATGAGAAATTCAGAATAATCCCAACTACCTGTTGGGGCATAAGCTAGTTTTCGAAACTTGATGCAAGCTTTTGTCACCGTATCGTATACATATCTATACATAATTCAACTTGATCACTCCATTACCGTTTAATATTGAGGTATAACAAAGCAAATCGGAAGAAATTAATTTATTAATTACAACATACACTGAATTGAAAATCGGTTTTACTTGCATATAAAATATGCTATATTGGTTCTTCGACATGTATTAACCAGTTAGAACATAGTTAACTAAAAAGAATATACTAATGCCGAAAAAACATATTTGGCTAAAGATAATTATTTCTTACTTGAAGCTAAAATAGTTGTTATTTTAATTGCTTTTGGTATACAAACACCACACATATACTTGCATTGTAAGCTTCTGACAAAGCACCAATTTGGCATATCATGAATTGCAGCCATCATGTTGGTTTCCAAAATTTTCCATAAAATAAGGTATCAAGAACTGCAATCTTAGAAGCGCATGATTTGGCAGGAAAGGCAATAACATGTCTAGTTGATAGGGGTACGTTTTTCCCTCCTCATATGAAGCAGAACATGATCTCAAACCGTTTTAAGAATTCTTCTAAATTAGTTACATGAGCTAGGTAGGTATTCGGTAAATGTCCCTTCACTGGCATGGTGGGAATAGTTTAAAAGCTTCTTAATTAATTGTTAGTATGGCACAATAAAATTTAATATGCCAACGGATACCATTTATCTTGAAATTTGAAAAAGGAAGTTAATTGTAATCATCAAGTTTTTTTATAACCATTATGTCATTTTTATCCAGTAGTAGTTTCTCTGTAACATCAATCAATGGAACCATGTAAACGCGCAAGATATTGCTAAATGTCGTTAACAAATTAACTAGCAATTGCAGCAAGCATTCATCTTATTTATTGCAAAGTAAAATTACTCCTCAAATTCTTAAATTTGTTTAAAATTTTTTAAATAAGGCTCTGTATTTAATTGCTACAAAAGAGACGTGTTAAACTTATTATTTCAATCTCCATTCAAACAGAGAGGTGTGGCAACCGACCAAGAGAACCTGGAAAGAAGAGTTGACAATAAACTTGCATAATGAATTAAAAGGTTCGAGTTCTTGAGACGTTTTTCCTTGAAAATAATCGAAATATATTGTCTCACCGTTTAACGTTTAATCTTATGACGTGTATCATTAAAGTAATTAATAATAATCACAAGTTTATTTGAGAGAAAATTAGAAAAAATGTGTAACATTATACGCGTGAATAGTTTATTATATTTGTAATAAGAATATTTCTATGTTAAAAACTTGAAATTTATCTATCTAAACTATAATACCATGTTTAAATAGTGAAAGCTCCAAATATAAGGTAGACACTTTTCTTGATCTCAAACTCAACATGACCTAATAATAATAAAATAATGACAATATTTAAATATTGCCTTGCATATGTTTATATTAATAATATGATTTGATTCTTAACTCTTACTTTTTCAAAGTTCTTAATATATCTTCCATTTCATATATTACTTGGATTGGAATGTATTTTATTATTCTTTTTTCAAAGTCATAAGTATCATTTATGAAACCAATCCTATTTATCTAAACTCAAACTTTAAGAAAAATTATATTATTTAGATTAATCATCAATTAGTAAAAATAAGTTTCTTTACCCTCCATACTTGGACAAAAAAGTAAAGTGGAGCATACTTCTCTTATCCTAATTGGGCAAAATTGGATACCCATTCTCTATTCTAATGAAAATGAGAACACGTTTAGAACCTGTTTTTAAAAGATAAAATTATAGGCAAAAATGCGAAAGACACTGGCGACTTCTTGCCTCTGGCCACGTCTACTTTCTTTGTTTTACGCATAAAAAATTTGCATATATTCATTATGCTATGCTGTCTTAAAAAATTGAATTTTTTTTATAATAATAATAATAAAAAACTTGTAGAGTTACATTACTTAAATAAGGACAAATTTCTTTGGGTAAATACAAGTTTAGAATCGAGTTCTTGGCTCTGGGCACGTCTAGTTTCTTTGGGTAAATATTAGGTTAACACACATGCGAATTGTAAGTACGTACTAAGTAGGAGACTTCAACTTAAGGTCAGGTCACATGAATGCACGAACCCATATTTGTTCAAGAATAAATCTGGGCTTTCCAAATCTCCTTCACTTGTCACCTGGCATGTTATGCTTATTTTCTTCCATCCTGGTTACCAACCCCATCCTTTTCAGGTTTCTCGTTATTTATTTAAAAATTTCATACAATTTTAATTTATCATTACTTTAATATAAATAATACTCATTTAATATTTTCATTTTGTTATCATGTCATATCATTTGTCACAAGCTTACTTGTCCTATAGTGGTATAGAAAAAAAAAAAAATGATCTCACCGTATATTCAGAAAGTGTTTGTGCAATATTTTTCTTTTTTCATGATATAATCATGAACTATTCTTTTTAATCAGTTTTAAGGATTAAAAAATCAAAATATTTTATTCAATATTTTAGATTACTTAAAAATATATTAAATATTTTTAATACTATATACATATATTTTTAATAAAAAATTACTTTTATTTTCTTAATTATATTTATTAATTACTATCTCCATTTTGAAATACGCTTTTGCCAAAACTAATAGTTAAAAATTTTAAAAATAAAAAAATTATGTTTAATGTTATTAATATACTTTTATCATAATTTTTAATATTATTTGTTTATTGGGCAATGACTTGGAAAACTGTTTTTTTAAGTATATGTTATTAATATCTTATGCATTAATAAAAGAATAATGACAGAACAATAATTTAAAGGTAAAAGGACAAAAAATAGAAAAAGATGTAAATGTTTTCTTCGTACTGTAACATGATAGACAATCTTAAAAGGAAAATATTAAAACGAGACTTATTATACATTAGAGAGTCATTTTATGTCACTAAAGAAAGAAAGAAAGAGAGATTTTATACAAAATATTTTACTAACGGTAGATTTTCTCTGAATTCATTTTTGTAGTTTAAAGTAATATCATGAATTCAATCTCTTTTATCCGAACAATACATGTGGTTGATGCAAAGATAAACTTGAATTGGGGATTGGAGTAATTGATAAAGAAAAAATGTTTGAAGAACAGAATAATTTCACACTAGCTGCTTTTAATATTAGGTACACTTTACGTGTAGCAGAAAACTGCCTTACCCACTTACAATACAAATATACAAAACATTAGTTTATATTTTTGATTTCCTTAGGCGTGTCATTGTCATTGAGTTAGCAGAGTGTTAAACACCACAGGGGGTGATAGCAGAGAGAAAAAGACAGGTAGAGAGAGATTTGATTTTGGAGTTTGCATTAGGGCTTGATAAAGATGGTTTTGCTCAGATTCTTATTATTAATATTTTTATTTGTGCTCTTTAGAATACGCAAAGCTTACACCGTCACACACGAGAGTTGAGGCCTTCTCTTCTGCCCATATATACTTTTGTGATTGGGTATTTGAGTGTAAGAAAGAGAAGGTGAAGGAGAGAGAGATGGGAAGAGGAAGAGTGGAATTGAAGAGAATTGAGAACAAGATCAATAGGCAAGTGACCTTCGCTAAACGAAGGAACGGGCTTTTGAAGAAAGCTTACGAGCTTTCCGTTCTTTGTGATGCCGAGGTTGCTCTCATCATCTTCTCCAATAGAGGAAAGCTGTACGAGTTTTGCAGCAGTTCAAGGTATTCACTAAAATGCAACAAATCTTACTCATATTTGTAAAAAGGAAAAACCCTCTTTGTTTTGTGTGTTTCTATGTGCACATAAACATACAAGCACAAAAAAAAGGAGGCGCAGGAACTTTCTTCTTGTTTCCACAAACCTTTCTCATAAGTTTTTCTTTTTTGATTTATTATTCTGCTTCCGAGATCTCCAAATCTCCCTCCCTTTGATTTTTGCTGTTTTCAGACAGCTAGCGTTTGCCCGCTTCTGAATTATTCTTGTTATTGTTTTTTCTTTGAGAAAACGTGAAAAAAGTTTATTTTCTTTTTTCACTGTTTGAGTTTTTCCGTTTCTGTGAATGTCTCGGCGTTTATAGCAGGTTGAGTGTTTCTGCGATCGTATTGCTGTTAGATCTGCAACTGGAAACGCCTTAAACCCAACATACATATATATTAAACAATCACAAGATCACTGTTGTATTGTATTCACTCTATTTTTGTGTTTTTTTTTATTATTGCCCCTTCTGTCCTCGTTTCTTCTTCTTCTTTTTAATTTTTTTTTACCCCAAGGCTAAGCCTTCAGCTTTCTCTTTCTTTCCCTCTTTTGGTTCTCAACCCAGCATTTGAAATTTCCGTTTTTTTGCTTCATCTGCGTTTGCAACAGATCTGGTTCAAAAGCGTTTGCCAAAAGTATTTTTTGGAGTCTCTGGTCAGTCTTCTTTTCGGTGTAATTAGGTGTTATGTAAAAGAAGCATATAATCAATTATTTGTTCCATTTGGAGTTTTAGGAGCTGGTCTTCTTTTGGTTTCAGTGTTCAAAAACACTCAAACAACGTAACCCATCTCTCATTTACTGTGAAATACGCCTTCTTTCAGAGAAAATAAAAACAAATTTCCTTCTACATCTCTACGCCTAGGGTTTCTTTTATTTCTAAATAAATATTTTTCCTTTTCTCCCATTTTAATTTTTCCTTTTTTTTTTTTTGCTTTGCCTTCGCTTACTTTTTCGGTCAAGCCCCGCCCTTTGATTACCTGGGGCTTGTCTTCGATAGTTCGATCCACAGTCATGACCGGTGGAATTTTCACCTGCTTAATTAATTCTCATGTTACTGACAACACATGTTTTCAATTGATCGTCTCATGATAGAGACTTTTTGTTAAATCAGAATGGACATTATGTTAAATCAGAATGATATATCTCCTCCTTCCTACATTCATGTTTTTCAATCACTTCACAGACATTTCTATTGGTTGCCTCAGCCTTTTAAATTTGCGTCTTCCGAAGCTTCAACTGCTACTTCTCGCTGTTATGAAAAAACTCTGGTCCTTTCAGATCTGATTATTGTACCGAAAACTCTCTTAGTATGATCCATGCTTTTTATTCTGGGTTGTAAAGGTGACACTCCACGTATATATACCAATGATCTTACCTCATATACACTCCCAAGGCACCCATTTTCTTTATCAAATCCAGCTAAAATATTTGTTAATTTTTAAGGATTTATTGGTAAATAATATTAACATTAATTAGCACTTAAATAATTGGCAATGATTTAGTACTGCTCATTTTTTGTGGGATGTGAATTTTTTTCGTCAAGAAATTTCAGAAGTTGATGTCATTTGATGCTTTTTTTTTTCCTGCTAGCCCTAAAACATTGTTGACTTCTCCGTTCACTTCTTGTTTACCAATTCTTTAGCGCCTATGGTTCTCCTATTTCTAATCTAAGGCACATTGCGAGGCTTGCCTCAAATCTAATGGGGTTTCTCACCATTTATTATCTTTTAATGCTAATTTAAATTGTTCCCGTTAGTCTATTGAAAAGAATTATATTATTTTTACAATAATATTGTTTTTCTATTTCTCTTCATTACCTCATCGATCTAATTGTTTATTTCTTTTTATTCCTATCACTCTTTTTAATTTATGAAGAAAAAAAATACAACTTTTTAACATTTCTCGGGTGCGTGTACGCGTTTTGCCACTTATGTTGGACTTAAAAGCGAATTTGAAAGTGCAAAGATGTTTTAAGATATGGCATTATTTGTGCTTAATTAATATTGTTAATTTCTATTAGTAGAACGTAGATAACTCTATTTATTTTTTATTCTTTTTTTGGGTACAATTTTTGGATCCATTTGTGATTACTAAAAGCACTTCTGACATGTAGTTTATATAGATATATAATGCTTTTTTATCGACGTGCAGCATGCTCAAAACGCTCGAGAGGTATCAGAAATGTAACTATGGTGCTCCTGAGGCGAATGTGTCTACACGGGAAGCTTTGGTAATGGTGAATAGTCCCATATATCGTATTTAAATTCGTTTTTTGTTCATTGAACTTGCCTAATTTGATTGCCAATTTTCTTTTATTCTCATCAATTTCTGTTTTTGTTTTTGTTTTTTTGTTTTTACAAGGGGATTGGGATGCATGGGCTGCAACTAATTACTTACATACTCACAAAGGGGGAAAGTTGATTTATAATACGTTTAGCATTGTCAATATGCCGTGTCGTCGTTGATCCATTGTTTAGTTTGTTGTTTTATAAACAATGAGAAAGTTCCGGAGTATCATCACTTTAATGTAGGACTAGCTTGAAAAGAATTTCAAGGAACCAAATATTAAGATTAAAAATATAGAAGTACCAAGCTAGAAACACAATTTTAAAAATTATGTTATTTTTATAATTATTGATAAAAAAAATCAATAAGAAAAAAAATATATAAAAGACAAATTAAAACATTCCTTTTATATTCTCATCCAGTGCCATAACAACTTAGGAATACACTGATAGGCTATCCATAAGCAAACTGCACTGTGTAACTTCTGCAAAACAAAAGAATGTAGACCATGCGCATTGTAATGGTGTCACACATTTTTAAATTTAATCAACAGTGAAGCACCCAAAAAAAAAAAAACATGAGATGATAAGAGAAAAAAAATAGTTTGTAATTATTCATATATATAATTTGAATGTAGTTTCATTATTAAGGAATCACACTATTAACTTTAATTCAACAAATAGTTTGATTTAATCACTATTGTCACATTCAACAAATTATAGATACACTTAAAACGTTTCTGTTGATAAACCTTGAGGGCTTTTTAAATTGTCAAGTAGTACTCTTTAATGTTGCAAGTATAATTCCCAAAGTCATATTTGAAATTACTTTTACATATGTAATAGATTGATTTCTTTGTTGTTGAATATTGGATCGAAAAACTCCCCATTCTATTCGGTCACACATTTATGGTAAAAATCCTCTTCCTATTCGTATTGATAATCCATGTGTATGTTTTCACGTTTGAAGCATGCCATCTGTTGTTTGACTGAAGGAAAATTTTTCGGTGTACATTATTTTTATTAGCAAAAGAAATATTTTTTTGGAGCACATTAGGATGTGTTATTGTTGTGATTGAGGTAAGAAAATATCTATATCAAACAAACAGCAAATATTAATGACAAAAAACAAACTGCAAATATTGGTTTTAAAGTTCCCTAAGTCTTTTTTTTCGTATCATGTTATTCATCTTTTACGCACCCTCAAACTTTGCGGCAGCTGTGTGTCTGCATCTAAGTTAATTTCCTGCTCATATAGATAATCCTGCATTAGACCGTAATTTTGGTAATACTGTTATAAGGATATATCGTTCTTAAAGCTTTGGTAATACGTTAAGATTATTCACCACACCGTGTTAGTTCTTTACCAAATAGTTGTTGATTATATCTCACCTAGGCCCGTTTAGTGTATCCGCTCAGTGATAAGTTTGGCTTTACAATTGTTGTATTTTAGAATACTGAAGTGAATGGACGGAGACTTCGGAGGTATCAAGTGCCTTACGTTCTCCTAACTTTATATAGGAAATCGGGTTTCATGACTTAGGAATCATAGGTTTTAAGTAAATTCCATAAATTTTAGTTCCTATATTTATGCATATGGTGCCCATATTCTTGCATGCAGACTTTAAGGTGAAGATCCAATTCTACCCAATTGTCACGAATATCATCATAGTGGATCTGAAATTATTGTCATTAGTAACTTAAATTGTGTGAATCTCGACCTTTTTTTGTGTCAGTCTCCATATTTGAAGTTGTTGCCTGTAGCGGTATCATGTGCCGTAACGTAAGTTCTTCCTTCTCTGATATATATATGTGTCGAGGCAATTGTCAAGTTGTTCACAAGTATTTGCGCACCAAAGCCCATTCTGTGACACCACCCCTTGAAATTCTGCAGAATAAGCTTGGCTTGTATAGTTTTAATTCTTTGCTTGCACGAAATGTGTCATCTCAATTTCTGGAATTAGAAAATATATTTGAACCAATAAGAATCAAGTTTGGCATTCCATTCTGATTTGTAATTTAACTTGAGCAAAGAGAATTAAATATTGGAAGCTAACTTCATGTAAAGGAAGGTAAGGCGCAAACCTGCTGGAATTAATACTTTAGACTCAAAACGTTTAGCATAGATGTTAAGCTGATAGATATGCCTACGGAGCTAGGTATCAAGGAGAAGTTTTGGAAAAAATGATGAAAATGAACCACATGTGACCATAAAACAGTTTGAAAATTAGGAATTAAAGAAGTGTCATTTGTTGCAATAGGAAAATGACATTCTGTAAACTGCTTGTCCTGGGCAGAAGCCCTGACACTTTGCTTATACATTAGCTTACTATCATCTCCCACAAGAGAAAGAATATTTGCCTGTTTGGCCTTTTTGTTACGACAAAGATATGCTGTAGAGACTAAAGAGCTCTGCGTAATTTAGGTATCAATAACAACTATGGTAAAATCTACTTGCAAATCGAGGGAAAGGAAAGAAACAAATTTTAACTTGAGGGTGGGCTTGTGTTTGTGAATTGTTCAAAACATTTGTTTGCATGTTTATATTCACACATTATCATGACTAGGTTCTTCGATTGTTTTAGTTGCCTATTAATATAATTTCATAAATACCTTTTTGTTTGAAATACTAAAATATATATGTTTAATCATAATTTAATTTTATCACTAAATGCATAGACCAACTAACTTAAAATTATTTTAATTTAATAAATAATCTCTAATTACAATCTTAATCTATACTTGTGTTGAAATATAATGAGAAAACCTTTATCACTTTTAGTAATTTTATATGATTCAATAAGAGATGTCAAAAATAAAATAAAATATTTCGATATGATTACACGATAGTATGAAATTCGTATTTCATAATAAGAAGAATCAGTTGGGGTGTCAATTGTTCAAATGGATCCATTAAAACATTTTATAGTGGCTTCAAGAATTTTTCAATTTTTAATGTACCAAAAATAATTTTTATGTTTTTTTCCCTCAATTTGTGTTCAAGATCATTCTTTTTTTCAGCTCGTGTGTATTGCATGCACACTACTCTCTGCTAATCAACACAAGACATGCGATTGGTTTGATTTAAAAATTAAGTAGGATTTATTTTAATAAAATTAATTTTAAGCTATAAAACATGATTTAAATGTGTTAATCTTGATTTTAAATACATATTTTTTACTGGAACTCTTTTTTTAATTGAAAAATGAAATAGACACTGAAAAATTGTATGAGAAAGAATTTTGAGAGAAAAAACAAGAAAAGAGGAGAGTACATTTTTTAATTTTAAAATAAGAAAATTATATATTATTTATAATAATAAATATATGATTAATATATTAAAATTATATTAATCTATCAGTTAATATCTTTTATTTTAAAAATATTAATTTAAAATTTAACATATAAATTTAACTTATCTTTCTTTTCTTCTAAAAGTTTCATTTCCAAACAACTTCTTAGTGTCCCTGTCACTTCAATAATTCATTTTAATGCACTACATTACACAACACAACCTAGAAAAAAGGATAAATTAAACCTTCTAGGGACAAAAGTAATTTTAGCATAAGTGTAGTACATATTAGAAGAAGAAAAAAAAAAGCAAGGCGAAGGCATTAAAATATGAATACTCAATTTCATTAGAATAATGCTAATTAAACAAAGCCTAGGTAAAAGCTTTAATAACTTTTCTAAAGCTTGATTTGAAATCTGGAACTACCAGACACGACCTTTATTAAACTGCTTTATACATATTGGGTGTGTGTCACTCTAGGTATCCTAGCTTATATGTTTGATAGAAGATTTTAAATTTTTTGGTATATGAATTATAAAATATTTTATCATAGGTGGTAAGTCTCTGTGACTAGGCTTGTTGAAGTTGAACTACTCGAAGATGAAATGCAGTTGTCCAGGTCCCCAGCTAATAAAAAAAGATTTAAGAATCGCTGTGCATGCATGACTTCGTATATGTAGGCTTAATATAGTTTGGTTTTGGTTCCATGACTGTAGGAGTTCAGTAGTCAACAGGAGTACTTGAAGCTGAAAGCACGTTATGAAGCTCTACAACGGTCCCAGAGGTATTGGATCTTTGGATATGGCTGATTTTTGGTTGATACCAAGTCTCTTGTGTACTTAACTGCTATCCTCTTAATTAGGAACCTTATGGGAGAAGATCTTGGCCCTCTAAGCAGCAAAGATCTCGAGTCACTTGAAAGGCAGCTAGATTCGTCCTTGAAGCAAATAAGATCAACAAGGGTACTCCAGTTTCCAGCTTTTGCCAGTTACCATCACCTTAAAACAATTATATACCCATAAGCCCATTAATTACACATCAGAAATAGGAATAATATATTTTGAAAAATATATTATTTATTATTGAATAAAATATATTAAAAAGTAACAAAAGTTATCTAAAATTTATCTCTAATTTAATTTTATAATTTTTTGTGGAGGAGGCTTGCACATAGTTACTTAATTAAAAGGGTTAAATTATTAATAAGGATATTGCTGTTTTTTTTATTGATTAGTCAAGAGAGACATAGATTGAATCTGTTATATTATATATATATATATATTGTAAAAAAATTACACTAATATCAAATTATAAATTGGCATATCAATAAAAATTAATTATTTTTATATTAACTAATATGAAATTTATATTCACGATATAGTTAATTAACTGACAGTGTTCTCTTATATATCAATCACAGAATGTGTAATTTCTAAGTAAAAACGGTGTTTTCTTTACGGAAAAAAAAAGTGTTTATCATTTGAACTCCGTATTTTCAGAAACGTAAGGTGAGTGTTGACCGCATATAATTGTACGAGTAGCAATACATTTATTTTATTTGGTAAGTTTGTTTTCTCTGCAGACCCAATTCATGTTGGATCAGCTCTCTGATCTTCAACGTAAGGTATGAGAACAATTTTGCTTTCGCTTGCTACCGTTTACTATATCTTCTTCGGCTGGCACCTGCTTTTGCTCATCAATTATGTAACTTGTACAGGAGCACTTGCTAAGTGAGGCTAACAGGTCTCTCAGACAAAGGGTAAGAATTCATCAACCTATGTAAAATAATTCCTCAAAGCAGATGGTGCATGCTCCAAAGACATAATTTATACATTTAAAATAATTCTTAGACTCTGTTTTCAATTCAACAAAATGGAATTACCAAGGAAAAGAATCATTCATATGACCAAAACAAGTTGCAGTAAGATACTACACCAACTGATATTGTGGTACTGAAAATTGATGGGTATAAGTGACTTAGTGTGTTGTTTAGCAGTTGGAAGGGTACCAAATAAATCCACTGCAACTGAATCCCAGTGTTGAAGACATGGGATATGGTCGGCATCCAGCTCAAACTCAGGGTGATGCCCTCTTTCAACCATTGGACTGTGAGCCAACGTTACAAATTGGGTATGCACTCATAGTTTACTTAGTCATTCATCACGGTTGAATCTATTAATCTCGTAATTAAACTGTATCAAATGGTTCAATAATAATGTCTTAAGAATGCATCTTTGATGTAGCAAATTAGTGTATAGATGTGGGGTCACATGAGATAGTTGATTTGATTAGCATAATTATAAATGGTATTTAGATTTTCTTTTTTTGGTTAATATTTTTAGTTGTAATTTTTTTATCAATATATATATTTTTTAAGCGCAGTTATCAGCCTGATCCAGTATCAGTGGTGACAGCAGGCCCAAGCATGAGCAATTACATGGCAGGATGGTTACCATAGAAGGAAGGCAGTGTTGCATAAGACCCACTGTATCAGCACATTTGCCGTTCCAATTTTATTTAAAAACGGGAAAAAAAAAAGAAGAAAATTTCTTTGGGATGTAATGGACCTGTAAGTGTCTACCGTGTATGAAGTAGGAACAATGTTTAGCAGTGCTGTTCGTGTGTGCGCTTTGATCAAACTGCACTTCTTTGCTTCAGTTACTGTTTCTTCCTTTATAATAGAAATAATAATAGAATAATAATCATATTTGTTAGCTGATTTATATCTCAACTCATAAAATTGCATTTATCTTAATTTTACAGTTTCTATTTTTTATTTTCTTGAATTAGTATTAATTTTTTTTTATATATAAATTTTAAATTTTTCTTAAACTCTCTTTAATAATATATATTTTATATTTATAAAAAAATAATTATATTTGTTTACTCTCTGATTACCATATTTATTACCCGTATTTTCTGGTAGGCATTACTTAAATATTTTTTTTATCTTATATTATTTAAAATATCAAGATAGTATTTACTATTTTTAAATAATGTCCTTATTTTTCATGGATACTTTTTTTTTGCCAACTACTCCTTCCGTCTTATATTACACTACCTAATACTATTCCATACATTTAATAAAATAATAATTTTACAAATTACAATAACAAAATAAAAAAAATAAATTTAACTTTCAGAAATAGTATAAATAACTAATAATAATAAAAATTTTATTAAAAAATATTTATCATACTCTTATAGTTTTAATATAATAAATATATACTCAATAAAAAAAAAATTATTTTAGGGTGTTTAAATTTAAATTTAAGAGTTAAGGTCATTAACGTTTTAAAATGAATTAAATTCACTAACATATCTATTTTAAAAGTGTTGATAAAAATTACTCAAGAATAAGTAATAGTTATTATATAATTATTTAACAAAAGCTGTTCCTGATAAGAGTATTATTTAAAAATTATTTTTGTAGTACTTAAAATGAACAATAATTTTAAAAAAATTTGAATGATATATAGTATGAGACAAATGTAATAATTATTAAAATTCTAACTCTAAAGGAGTAATTTTACACTATAAAAAAAAGGGAATAATTTTAGAAATTATTAGTTTGATGAGTATTTTCATTTTTTCACTATTAATTCGAGCTTTGACACGTTAGATGGACTTTTATCCCGTTATCGTTACGAGTGAAAGGCGTTGCGGCATTCAGTAATGAATGTTAGTGGATATTTCAAAACAACTAAAAGGATATTAGTGGATCATGAATACTGAGGATGATTGTATAATCGGTAAAAGTCAATTAAATTTTTTCAAGAGACTTTCAATTATAAAATAAACTAATTAAATTCGTATATTTTGAAATCTATTATTTCTAAAAATTCGTTAGTCATTAAAATAAATTAATATAAAAATTGGTTAATACGTGTCAATTCGTGAATGAACCCGAAAAGCCTATAAGAACAAGATTTTTTTGCTGCTAAACCGTAACGTAACGGCGAGAAAATCGGAGAAAGGAAAAGAGAGAAATCCTCACAGAAATCAAGCTAGGGTTTTGGCGCGAAGAAGAATGGGCAAGAAGAAGGTGGAGATGAAGCGAATCGAGGACAAAAGCACTCGTCAAGTAACGTTTTCGAAGAGGCGCAACGGATTGATGAAGAAGGCTCGCGAGTTATCCATTCTCTGCGACGCCAAAGTGGCTCTCGTCATATTCTCCAGCACCGGGAAGCTCTTCGAGCTTTGCAACGGTGACAGGTACACGCAGATCGTACATCACCGTATATTTGCATTTTATGGATTTGCACTGTACTTGACTTGTTCTGAGGGATAGTAATAACTGGCCAACCTCCTAAGCTCGCGTCACATTGCACAGAAAATTAATTTTGTTTTTTGCCATTTTTGTACTTGAATGGCTTGCTTTGCGTTAGGTGCTAACTAAAAAAGGAATGGATTAACTAGTTAAGTATGGGAATAGTTAACAGCTATCCTCTAGTGGAGGCATGTCGATTCACTGTTTGCAAAGCTGTAGATACGGATGAGAGATCCTTTTCATAAAAGGATGAGTTTTTAGACCGGTCTGCTGGCCACTGTTGCTGTCGTAGAACGTGGATTTGATAGAATATGCACGTTACTGCTCTTAAGCTTGGCGCGTGGTAGGTTTGTCAGAATAAACTATAAAAGATTTTTATTTTAATATATACACTTAAAGAAAACTGCAGACGCTTTATTAGTGATACTTTGTCTTATACGCCATCCTTATCTTTGCGCGGGATTTGAAAATTGAATGTAAAGGTATTTGCAGTGGTGCTCAGGTCTTTAGCAGCTAGGGATGATTTCTTTTAAAATATATGTTTGAAAAGTGACTTTCGATGAGGTAGATACGAGTATTCTCTCAACCAAGCTTAAATGATATATCATGTACCGTTTACAAACTTTTATGCTTATGCTTATCATGTACTCTCTCTCTCTCTCTCTCTCTCTCTCTCTCTCTCTCTATCTCTATTTTCTGTGAAACAAATATAATGACCATTTTGCAATGGGAGCCATTCATCATGTCAACTTCTGATATTGTCCTCATTGCCAAACTATCCAATAGCCACGCTTCTGAAGGATCTATTTAGCTTCGGGTACTCTCCGAGTGTAACTTGTTTATAGCCCGATAGAGCATGTAAAAAATCAACTCTAGGTAATATCTTGCTTAAAAACACCTTGACATGAGAAACTTTAGGCAAGTAATAATGCACTACCCTTGTTTGACCAATAAGGTAAGACGTCAAAGTTTCTGAAATTGACTCCACCGTTCCACTTGGATTTATCTCGACTCAACCAATGAGTTATTTTCGCTTTTTTAACTTTCTTGCCAAAATCTACTGATCATTTTTTCTCTGTTTACACAAAAACCTTGAGGTAAGAGGAATCATCCCCACATCTTATGATGGCTCAGTAAATTGAATAGGAAATCCCGTAGACAAATGAAATTCTTCAAGAAAACGACATTCAACACTGCCATAGGCTTCGACCATATCCAATTTTAGACCAAAATATCGTGCTTTTCCCCGTAGATTTTTTTCTCATAAAATGAAAAGATTGCATTCAGTGAGAACAAGTCAGTAATGAGCCAACAATATTCTATTTATAATCATCTTGGTTACAAATTCAATAAGCATATTACGTGAGGTAACCGGCCTAAAATCCTTAGTCTAAAATGCCAACAATAAAGATGTTAACGTTATTGACAAGGGATGGGTTCGCACGACTATTCAACATATTAACAGGTACAAGATCTATAATATCATTACCAATGGACTTCTAATATCTTTGGTAAAAGAAAGTTTATAAGCTATCAAGTCTGGGAGCTGAGAATAAATGAAGATTTAGTATGATGTCCTTTAGGGACAAGTATGCACGCAGAAATATTTGCAATAGTACGTCAGATTTCTACTCATGATATGCGTACATCAGATTGTTTAGATATCGAAGTCATGCTTTTTAGTTTGTAGAATTATATACGTATCGGTGGTTCTAATCCTAAACCCTTATTATTTGTACCTTTAATTTCTAATCATGATAATCTATCGATGCAAGATGTGCAAATTTTGTATCATAGAATGTTTTTCTAAAGATTAATGATACTAATACAAAAAATATAATATATTATAGTGATTTTATGCATGTCAGTTCCATGAAGGCAGGTCTTTAGAACTTCGATGTGAAAAGGAAGTGTTGCACTTCAAATTTCAATTATGTGTTACTGCATCCTTCTTTGAATATATCAACGAATCAAAATTAGTTCTTTCTAAAATTCAAGATGCAAGTAAAACAAAACAATTTGTAAGAAAGATGTGCTTGTTTATTTGTATTTTAATAATATTTTCTAGCCACATCCCATTTTCTGACTAGAGTACCCTGCCTGATATGTATCAGTCATAAATCATCATGGTTTTTGGAATACTGGTGTTTTATTACATTTACCACATTTGCAATCTCCTTTGCGTTTTTCATTCAAACTTCCTAGGTGATTTAATATCCAAATTTACCCGCTGTCCTACTTGTTTTGTAGAGCTCGGTCCTTCCTTTGCTTGGTGACTCTCAAGGTAACATAAATTGATTTGCATCCTTTCATTGCTCTAGCCGACTTAAGGAAGGGCTTGGTATTTTCATTTTGGGTGACCCTCCCCCCTTTATTTCGTTTCATCATTCAAAACGATTGAGAGTACCAACTGTAGGCTTTTACAGTTTTCCTATAACCTGGTCTTAGGCGCCCATTGAGGATGGCTCTAGAATTTCTCCAAGTACTGTCTTGGAGCTAATGACAGCAAACTTCATTTCAAAATCATTGTAGTTAAGCGAGCAAATAGTTTCATTTTGGTATTGAAGTAGGATATTTGGATTATAAACGGGAGAGTTTCTTTGATTTTAAGCTTTACATCCCTAAGATCTTAGTGGGTCGATTGAAACACACAATTTTCTCTTTGAACAATTTTGATGCTAGTCCTTTCAAGAAAAGCTCGAGCTTAACACCAAATTCATTTAAGGCATTGTTGGTTCCAAATTACTATTAATCTAGGTCAGTTATCAGTATAGTATAACCAGATATATAAGCCCAACAACTCAATACGATCACAAATATCCGCAAATTGAATCTTACTCCTATGTTCTCTTAGCTTGTTACGATAAACTCATTTAATAACCAAAATAAAATAAAATAAAATAAAAGAGAACATCTTAAGAAATGATGCACAACCAGAAAAATGATTCTAATATGAGGTGACCACGGGCTAAGAAACACGTTCAATGAAAATATCTTAGCAAGCAATTTTATATCAATTTCTTTTAACATTTGTTCAAGGACTCAATAAAAATTTATATATAATAAGTTTTTATTAAAAATTAATATACTGATAATATTAAATACTATAATTTTTAATAAAAATAATTAACTATTTTTTTACTTTTTATTATATGACATTGGACACACATTTTAAAAAAAAATCCGATTTTGTATTAGTTAAGACTTATACTCCACTCTACCAAGTTCATTAAAAGCATTATCAATAATAGCATTAAATTTAAATTGAAGAGACTCAATCTTGAAAAATACACTTGAAAAATGAAAAATTAATCTGACTTAAGCCAGCAAACAGAGGGAAGTAAGAAGCAAGAAAAAGCCAGTCAGTAAAACAGAAGAAAGGAAAGTCAAACAAGAGCTAAATATTAAGCTAGCATCTAAATAATAAGGTTCATTAATGGTTGTATGTCTAAAATGTCCCATAAAAATTATAGTTTTGTGGACTTTTAATCTCTAATATGGTTTTGGGAAGCATAGATATTATAAACTAGTTGTTCCAATAACTTAAATTGTCAAGCAAAAATACCAGTAATACTATATATATATATATATACCTGTTATAATTTTTTACTTTTATATTTTATTTAGGCTGTATTAAATATTTACCAAGTTCTTGATATATGATGGTTGATAACAAATTTAATTATATGTGCTTAGTTCCTTCATGAAAAGATGAAGTTTTTAATAGTGATCTTTTCTTGGATGAAATGATAATCAGTTTATATGTGATCTGTTCTTTCATGAAACATTAGATTATAGGAGGGATGTAAGACAGATTGTCACATTCTAGCTTCATAGGGCTAATCTTACAAAATTGTTACTCCTAAAATAAATGTTTCAACCACAAGAGCTCACAGGTGACATGAGCCATAGCTATATTCAGCCTTCACACTTGACCTGACAACATTTTTCTTTCTACTTTTTCTTGAGATAAAATTACCTCCCATAAAAATACAGTATCCTGAAATGGATTGTATATCACTTGTATCTTTAGCCCAGTCAACATTCGAGTATGTAATTATAATAGCATTGTGCCTTCTATCAGTATAAACAAGTCTATTTCCAGGCGATCCTTAATTTGATGTAACTAAGAAAAATGCACGGAGAGTTTAAACGAGTCTCTATCAGTGTATGCGAGTAATTTCTAGGTGATCCTGAATTGGATTGTCAATCACTTACATGACCTATTATACGGAGAGTTTACGAACTGACTTACGACGCTAATTGAAAAGGATATATTTGACCATGTCATGGCGAGATAATTATTTTTTTAGTAGCCTCTAGTATCTTCCTAGGTTTGGATAGGGCTCCCTTGATTGGGCAAGAGTTTCACATCTGAATTCTAAGGAGTGTCAATTAGGCTACAATCTAGAAGTCATGTCTTCACCAGGAGTTCAAAGGCTTACTTCCTCTAAGAAATAGCAACTATTGACTTTGATTGAGTCACTTTGATCCTAGGAAAATAATGGAACGGCCAAATATTTAGTTTGAAAATGCTAAAATAAGTGTTTGTTTAAGAGCAATAATGCCTTTTGATCTTCACCTATAATTCTAATATCATTCATATAAACTATCAAAGAAAATATAGTGGTTTGTTTCATAATGGATCATTTCAAATTGTCGAACGACTTTGTTGAATTATCAAAATCAAGTTTGAGGAGACTATTTTAGTCCATATAAGAATCTATTCAATTTGCAAACAAAACCGGACTCTCCCTGAATAAGCCTGGGAGGTTGCTCAACGTAGATTTCCTCTTTCAATCTCTACATAAAAAGGTATTATTAGAGGACATTTGGAAAAGCTTATAATAATCTTATAAAACATTTTATAACTTTTGTAAGTTATTTTTATTTATTTTAATAAAAAAATTTATAACTTAATAAAATAAGTTATTTTTAATTTATT